CATTTTCTGCATTCTATGTCATAAGAATCACGTAACTTAATATATATATATATATATATATATATGTGTGTGTGTGTGTGTGTGTTGCTGTGGGGTCTAGTTAGATATGTAATGGTTGGATGGGTATATTCTGATGAAACATGAAATGGAAAGAAAAAGGAAGTGATGGAAGTGTTTTTAAGTAAGAAAGATTAGGTAATGGGTTTAGATTCTACATGGTGTGCATGTGGAGCTGTTTTGGGGGCTTGGGGGATTCATTAGTATGTATACTTGCGTAAAAGATGCAGTGTTTTTTAGGTTCGTGTTTTCTTGTTTCTTATATTCTTTTATCTTTCTACTTCTAATCAGTAACTACTTTCATTATCTATGCTATAGATTCACTTTTCGGTCAGTGCTATATCCGCCAGCCGTTTTGACATGGTTAAACTTAGTATTCTGGCTCATTATTTTTGCTTTGGTTCGTCTTTCTAATGTTTATAATGTCATTTCCTTGTGTAGATTGTGGAAAAACTTCTCATTGCAGCTGTTGCTGATGCTGATGCTGCGGTTCGACTATCTATATTTTCTTCTTTGCATGAGACTGGGGGATTCGATGATTATTTGGCACAGGCCGATTGTTTGACAGCAGTTTTTGCTGCCTTAAATGATGAGGTATTCTAGCTTATTATTTGGATAAACAATGTTCCTGTATCTTATGGTGTTCTAATGCAACTTTCACTTTCAGAAAGAAATTTTGTTGAAAAGATGCTATTTTGCGGGCAGATAAAATTGAAACATTGTTATTAGCTTTAGTTTGTATTGACCGTGTTATTTGATACTTGTCAAGATGTATTGCTCTCTTTCTCTCTCTACAATCGTTCTATCCACCATGTTGGCTCACTTCCGAATGTACTTTTTGAGGCATGCAGAAGTGAATAAGGCTGAGCTTATTTATCCTGTTTAAAAATGTGTTGTATGTTAAATATTTTGTTGAGCATCTCTTTTGTTATTATCTTTTAGGATTTTGCAGTTCGGGAAATTGCTATATCACAGGCTGGAAGACTATCTGCAAAGAATCCAGCATATGTTCTTCCAGCTCTTCGTCGCCATCTTATTCAATTGTTAACTCACCTAAAACAAAGGTATTGTTGACCCACTTAAATTGTTAATCTGCTGACACTATTCTTTTCTTTCTTCTGTATGTCGTTAACATTGCTACTTTCGGTGGCAGTGCTGATAACAAATGCAGAGAGGAAAGTGCGAAATTGTTGGGATGCTTAATTCGTAATTGTGAGAGATTGATACTCCCATATATTTCTCCAATACAAAAGGTTTTGTATCTATGTAGTACCTGATGTTTGTTTGTCCACTTATTTTATTATTTTTGTTTGATTTTTAATCTTTTTATTTTTGTCAGGCCCTCATTACAAAACTCAATGAGGGAACTGGGGTGAGTGTCAATAATGGCATTATAACTGGAGTTCTGGTGACTGTTGGAGATCTCACCAGAGTAGTAAGTGTTCCTTGGACTTCTGTTTAGTTGGTTTAGTCTGGACAAAGTGTCGGTATGGGCATATTGTCTTCCCTTTCTTTTCTTTTTTTTTTTTATGATATATTTTTTATGGAAGTCTTATTACAACCGTACCTGTAATGGTATATATTGATGTATAAATATTTTAATTGAGTGAGTCATGTCTTCAATATTTCAAATTAACTTTGGATACTGTTTATGCAAAAACCCATGGTTTATCTATCTCATGTTCAGGGTGGATTTGCAATGAGACAGTATATTCCAGAGTTGATGCCCTTAATTGTCGAAGCTTTATTAGATAGTGCAGCTGCCATGAAACGTGAAGTGGCAGTTACCACTCTAGGTCAAGTGGTACAAAGCACGGGGTATGTCTTTCTTTGATTTATTTAATTTGTAGTGTATTTGTATGATTGCTCATCAATAAGGGTGTTCTTGGTCTTCATTTTGAAAATTTTCTTTCACTGGAGATTATGGTAAAAGATTTCTGAAAGAAACGTGGTAAAACTCTTTTTGAGAGTCTGGTAGATGGAAGATCTAAGTTGATTGGTTAAAGTTGATTTGGTATAAACATAATAAAATAACGATTGAAAAGATGATAGTCAGTGATATGTGAGTGAATGAACTGTATAACTAGTGGGAAAATTTAGTATTGTCCATCATTTTTATGATGGACATTATTTCAAGTCTCTGGGTCCTAGACCTTATGATCTTCAAATAAACTTAATAAATTCTGGTTCTTAATTTATGAAATCATAATGAGTGATGAAAAAACATGCATGTATTAATGTTTATGTTTGTATGCATATTTCTTTCGCTCCGATGTGTGTGGATTGACTGTGTGTCTGTTGAGTGGGGTGAAGCCTGTCTCAGTGTGTCATTTATATAAAGAACATTTAATAATTATTAGAAATTGTTACTGATGAGGAAATATAGCTGAAAATTTTGCTTCCCATTAAAAAAATATTGTGTTGGTTTGCAATTTTATGAAGTCAATAGGTCTGAGTCGAAACATGTGTGGCTTGCACTTTTGCGAAGATGTTATCAGTTGTTTGAAAGTGAGAGAGGAAAGAATTTATTGAAGGATCAGCTATAATCTTATAAACATAAGTTTGAGATAATTGACAAAGTTGGTTCCGTGCCAATAACTTCAGTGTTTATGTTATATAAAAGAAATGCATCAAGTATTTTTAGTATAATATAATGTACTCTGGGTTTTGATTGATAATTATATACAGGCACACCTACTGTTTTTACCTCCATTTACCATGAAATCTAAAATAATCTGGATGATTTGCAGTTATGTTATCACCCCATATAATGAGTATCCTCAATTGCTCGGGCTGCTTCTTAAATTGCTTAATGGCGAGTTGGCATGGTCTACCAGACGTGAAGTTTTGAAGGTATCTAATTCAGCTGACTTCTCAAAGATTTATTCGACATGTATTATTCACGCCTAACCAGTTATTTGTGTCTTTCTATGATCTTGGCATTATATCTTTTACATTCTGTATTTTAGGTCCTTGGCATAATGGGTGCTTTAGATCCCCACGTGCATAAACGCAATCAACTGACTTTACCAGGGTCCCATGGAGAAGTTGCTCGTGCAGCTTGTGATTCTAGTCAGCATACCAGGTCATCAATGGATGAAGTACCTGTGGATCTTTGGCCATCCTTCGCGACATCAGAAGACTACTACTCCACTGTGAGATTTCGAATAAGAAATCAAAGTTATTATTAAGCACTCTGAAGTGATTCTAATTAGAACGCGCTTAATACTTTCTTTAACATCTATTTACTTCAGGTGGCTATTAACTGTCTGATGCGAATTTTTAGAGATTCTTCACTTTCAAGTTACCATCAAAAGGTGGTCGGGTCTCTAATATTCATTTTCAAGGTTAGTGTAAGATTATGGATGTTTGTTTGTAACTATGGTCATAGTTTCTTCGGTAGAACTGTGTTATGGATCTGTCGTCTTTCTTTTACTTTTGTGCTTAATTTGAATTTTATGCATGCTTACCCTGTAGAATGAATGTTAACTCCTTTTTTTTTGTTTTTTTTTTGTTTTTTTTTTTCTGGTTTTAGGCAATGAATCTGGGTTGTGTTCCTTACTTACCCAAGGTTAGTCAATTGTGCATTTTCCACACTTACTAAATATTGTGCTTCTATTCTTACTTGCTTGAGCGACCATATATGGAGCTATTTTTTCCTCTCACTCATTCTTGAAGGGTAGTACCTTGCTATATTAGGCTTAAGTTTGAGGTATTCATATATGCAAGATGTACTCTAGAAGGCATTCACATGCTTAAGTGTAAAATGCTTCATGAATGTGTGCTGATTAAGTTTAAAATTATCGGAACTGTAATGGACAGGCTTGATGCATAGGAAAGTAGGATACCCTGTTTAAAAATTTTTATTTTACTGTTATAAATCTTTTGAAGTTATTGCTCTTGTATATAACTCATCATGCCTCTTCTTTAGATTTCTTCAAAAGCCATAACAACAACTGCATGTTCTGACCTTACCGTTTATATCTTGGAGATGCCTCGTTTAGCTTGCATGCACCGCTGTGTTTTGGTTACAGAACAATATCATTTTCATCCCACCACAGATTTTCTATTTGGTTCCTTCTTCTAGAAAGGAGATATTGCGTGCAGAAGTTTAAAGAAAATACACTTTTCTCTCATCTCAATTTTTCTCTCATCGATCTTATCCACATAATGTTTTAAAATAAAAATCAACCATTACTATGAACTTCCCTATAAAATTCAGTACACGTCCCGCCACACATTCCTGATTACCAGTCAGTATTTTAGTATTTTACTGTTTATAAATCACACCAATTTTAACCATTAAGTTTTCATCTTACATCTTTTCGCATTTTACAAAATTTTTCATTCTAAACTCAATGCTTTCCATCAGTTTTCTCCAGTTGGAGAATATTTCCAATCACATCATTAATTATTTTGATTAGATCTGAAGGATTATTGTTGTTAGAGGAGAAGACAATGACGGGTTAAAGGCTAAAACGACTAGGCTTTGATATTGGTATTTAAAGCTGCAAATGCTTTATGGCTTTGGAGATGTAAAGTTCATAATTACATTTAGCATCTTGATCTTGTTAATCTCTCTCTCTCTCTCTCTCTCTCTCATTGTAGTGATCTTGTTAAAGCTAATAATTTTTTGAATGAAACTGCTCCTATCAGGTTCTGCCTGAACTTCTTCATACTGTTCGTTCGTGCGATGATAATAACCTTAAGGAGTATATTACATGGAAACTTGGAACACTGATTTCTATTGTTCGCCAGGTATGTACTTTGTCTCCCTCTCCAAGATTTTATCAATCATCTCGAAACTCATTATTCCCGTATTCTGCTTATGCAGCATATTCGGAAATATCTTCCAGATTTGTTCTCTCTAATATCAGAGTTATGGTCATCATTCAGTTTGCCTGCTGCTAACAGACCAGTCCATGGATCTCCGGTAAACGAATTTTTACGTGGTTCAGCTGCTGCACATTCTCAGTGACGGAATTTATTCTTGTATTAGAAGATGATTAGATATTTGATTACTTCCTAACTTGCACCTTTAGGTTCTCCATCTGCTTGAGCAACTTTGCTTGGCTTTTAATGACGAATTTAGAACACATCTCCCATTTGTTCTTCCATCCTGCATTCAAGTACTAACTGATGCTGAGAGGTTTAAAGACTACACTTATGTTGTTGACATTCTCCATACTCTTGAAGTTTTTGGCGGTGGGTATCTTATGTTTGCGCCATTTCTGAAGGACTACCTTGATATCTCTTCTGTATATAAGAAATCTTTGAACTGAATCTGTAGGAACATTGGATGATCATATGCATCTTCTTCTTCCTGCACTCGTTCCAATCTTTAAGTTGGATGCTTCTATAGAAGTGCGGCGTGCTGCTATTAGAACTCTTACTAAGTTGATTCCCCGTGTACAGGTTGAATACAGTCTTCATCTTCTAGCTTCTAATTTTTCATTTTTTATTTTATTATGGTTGTTTTTTCAATTAATCTTAGTCAATTTGTTCTATTTAACCAGGTTTCGTGTCACATATCTGCTCTTGTACATCACTTGAAGCTTGTCTTGGACGGGTTGGATTTTTCTCTCATTTTATATTGTTATAATATGCACCGTAGAACTTCATATTGTACTTTATTCTTTCCTTGAAAGAAATTCATCTCAACGTTAAGCATAGGCTCAGACCTGGATCCAGATGTAATTCTTACAGAATTGGAACTTCAATAAAATTTCTTCTTAAAGCACTTTGTACAGGGTTTGGAGAAATCACTTGTCCTCTCTAAGTCCAGTTCAGATATGTGCTAATTTGTGACTTTTTGTTTTCATTCTCTTCTACTTCTATCAAATGGACATTCAATTTATATCTTACGGAACTCTTATTATTACCCGAAAGCACTCTCTGAAAATTCCAATATAGTAGAATCCATCTTAGAGAGGCTTAGTTACTTAGCTTTATGAATCAGAATTCTTAGGTGCAACTTGTACATGTAGAGGCTTACCTGTTTCATTGCTTTAATTCAGTAGCTGAGTCTTGTATATGACAATTGTTCTAGTTTACTTTCCACCTTACTCGAAGTACGTATTAATTTTACAGGAAAAATGATGAGCTCAGAAAGGATGCTGTTGATGCACTTTGTTGTCTTGGTCATGCCCTTGGGGAAGACTTCACTATTTTCATCCCTTCCATCCATAAGCTTTTGTCAAAACATTGCATGCGGGTATGATTTATATCTTTATTTCAGCCAATAGATACACTGTTAGTGAAGGTGATGCTCGGGCTTATTAAGGATTTCAAGCATATTTTCTTCCTTGACCAGCATAAGGATTTTGAAGAAATTGAAGATCGTATCAGAAGAAGGGACCCATTGATCCTAGTGACGGTTGCTCAGGAACAAACTTGTCCATTTCCTGGAGAAGTTATTAGCGATCCTTTGAATGATACAGAGGATCCAGAGAGTAGAGTTGATCCACACAAGCCTCATAAGGTATGTCATATTATTTTTGTCCTTAAACTAGCTAAAACAAAAAGTTTTAACACATACGAGCTGATAACGTCACATTGTTGGTCAAGTCATAGGAAATATAGTTAATTCGTGTTAGAACTTTTTAGTGATGCTGACTAGGAGGATGCTGTTTATTGTTGGTGTTATTTGACATGATAACATTGTTTATTTTATATTTTTATTAACAGATAATTTTGAATTCTAATTGGTTTTACGACTTTCTTAGGTTAATGAGGGCCGAATACGTTCTGCAGGGGAAGCCGCTCAACGCAGTACGAGAGAGGATTGGGCAGAGTGGATGAGACATTTTAGCATTGAACTATTGAAGGAATCACCTGCACCTGCTCTGAGAACATGTGCCAAGCTTGCCCAACTCCAAGTAATTTTCGTTACTTCTATTGCTCTTTGGCATAATTGAATAAAATGATTCTTGGTGCTAAGAATTTTAATGCGATTTATGTTTTTGCAGCCTTTTGTTGGACGGGAGTTGTTCGCAGTTGGTTTTGTCAGTTGCTGGACAGAGCTGAACGAGCCTTGCCGAAGACAGCTAGTGCGCAGTTTGGAAATGGCATTTTCATCTCCAAACATTCCTCCTGAAATTCTTGCCACACTTTTGAACTTGGTATGTAGGAATGAATTACATGCGGATTCAGATGAATATTTTTATGTAATTCGATGTACTTCTGGCCATTCCAAAAGATAAATACTATTGGTAAATAAGCACTTTGCTATGGTTTTAAGTTAACTGCTAAGATGAAATGCTATGTTACTCAACTAAACAAGCAAGGACAACCTAAGTACATACTTAATCGCTGCATCCTTTCGCATGTAGAGCTTTACCTTTGATTATTGTCCTTGGCAGACTTTTGAGCAATTATAATTAATCCGAAGTATCTAGCTGTAATATTGAAAAGTTAAAAACTTAATGTTGTTCTGCCAATCAACTTGTAGACTGATTTTTTCAGGCTGAGTTTATGGAGCACGATGAGAGACCCCTTCCCATTGATATACGTCTCCTGGGTGCCCTTGCAGAAAAGGTGGGATTTTCGTGATAGCAACTACACTCCGTGAGCATTTATTTATGCTGAAGTATATGATATGAATCTCTCACTATTCTTTTATTTCAGTGTCGTGCATTTGCAAAGGCTCTGCACTATAAAGAGATGGAATTTGAAGGTGCATGCTCAAATATGATGGATGGCAACCCTGTTGCTGTAGTTGAAGCTCTTATTCATATCAATAATCAATTGCACCAACACGAGGTTGTTTATTATTGCAGTTTAAGTTCTGTATGTTTTTTTTTTATTTTTATTTTTTTGAATAAAGAACTACGCTCATGATGTCAATGAAGTTTTAACTTTTATCCAGGCGGCAGTTGGAATATTGACATATTCTCAACAACATTTGAGTGTTCAACTGAAGGAATCATGGTACATTAATCCTCGCAACTCTCAACATTTTCTGTTGGTTGTTTAGTTTGAATGATATTGCTTTTTGTTCCAAAATTCCAATGCCATTAAACTTCAGAATTGGCAATCTGGTAATCGTGTATGTTAAGGAAATAACGAGTCAAATCAATAATAATATTTCTGCTCACATTCAGTCACTCAAGTGAACTTGTGTTTGCCAAGGTATGAGAAACTCCAGAGATGGGATGATGCTCTTAAAGCCTACACTGTCAAAGCCTCTCAAGTATCAAGCCGACATCTTATTCTGGAAGCAACACTAGGTGCATGTTACTGTAAATTATGTGTGGATGTTATTGTGTTTCAAATTGGATAGTTCCTTTTATGGTTTAAGTTACAAATGAAAGGACGATTTATTGCTAGAAGTGCAGGTCATTCTATGTTTCAGATTCATTTACCGAAGAATATTTGGATTAACACTGTAATTTGATGAATCAATTATTTTTTCAAAGCAGAAAAACCACACATCCTTTTTTCTGAAAAATCAAATACTTTAAATGCATTTGGTTTCCTGGATGGTCATTTCTCTTCTGGCTTTCCAGCTTCTTTTCTCTGTTCATATGGGGAGTTATTTCAGCTACTTCATTACTCTACTGTAATATGCTTTAAAGTAGATTTTATGCTATTATTAAGTCCATTTACAGTAAGACAGTAACTATCTGAGTTCATCTACAGTAACTAACCTGTACTTCTTTATATTCCTGCTTCCATGACTATTAGTATTACTTAGGTTCTTTTCCTTTGAGAATGGCAATCCGTAGTTTCTCTTCTCTTTCTCTCTCTTTCTTTCTTTTCTATCCACACTTTTTGTACACTTTTTATGTTGATTTTTTTTCTCTCCTTTTATATGCACAAGGGCAAATGAGATGCCTTGCTGCACTGGCTAGATGGGAAGAGCTCAACAATCTCTGCAAGGAGTATTGGGCACCTGCTGAACCAGCTGCTAGACTGGAAATGGCCCCAATGGTTTGTCTTTGGCTTCAAAATGCCTATTTATTTCATTGTGTCACTCTTGTTTGATGTTTCACTTTGCTCTACCTCATGGAGTTCTTGTAGTCTGTAGATTGTCTTGAATACCATTTTAAATTTGTGTGGCACAATTTAAAACCGAACAGCAGATCCAACGGTTGTTCTAGTATCCATTTTGCTTAAGTAAAAAGTCAATTAATTACATTTGTGATAGATCAAAACCAATTTAACTAGTATCCCTTTTCATGATATTACTCTTATGGCATCTATTCTTGCTCTGTTTGTTTAGTAAGTGTGTGATCTGTTAATCCAGGCTGCTAGTGCTGCTTGGAACATGGGTGAATGGGATCAGATGGCAGAGTATGTTTGCCGATTGGATGATGGAGATGAAAACAAGCTTGGAGTTTTGGGTAATACTGCTGTTACAGTGGATGGGAGCAGTATTGGGACCTTCTTCAGGGCTGTCTTATTAGTTCGTAGGGGAAAGGTAAAGGTTTAGCTGTTTATCTCCTAGTTTTTTATTCCTTAACAAGGAGATGTCTAATTGCTTTTCTTCTTTTAAAATATAGTATGATGAGGCACGTGAATATGTTGAAAGAGCAAGGAAATGCTTGTGTACAGAAGTGGCTGCCTTGGTTAGTTTTCTCCATCTATAAGTTTATTAAGTGAAAGATGAAGAAGTACTATCCAATGTTGTTTGGAAAGTATTGTCTTGCCGTATATCATATTCTTCTATTGTCTATACTCTATGGCAGCATAAGTGGTTCTTATGTGGTTGCCATACTTTTTAATTATCAGGGGTTCATAGTAGCTTTATTTCCAAAGCAGAAAAAATATACTTCATTAATTATAGGTGGCAAAACTCATGAGATATAGCTGTTGATTTTAATGTGGCATGCTTAATATGAGCTGAATGATCACATATATATGCACATATCAAGATTTGGATGAATGTCACACTTAGTATTTATCAGACGTCTGGTGGCTTTGAAATCATATCTGTTTCCCTCTTATTAGGTTCTTGAAAGCTATGAACGTGCATACAGCAACATGGTCCGCGTTCAGCAGCTATCAGAATTGGAGGAGGTATATGCTCTTGAGCCATTTCATCGACTTTCTACCTAAGCTTATTTTTACTTTTATTTTTTTTTGGTGTTGGATTTAAAATTGTTGAAGCATTATGATACGTATAATAGTTGTCTGATGCCCTTTCCGAATTAGGTCATTGATTACTGTACACTTCCGGCTGAAAACCCTGTTTCTGAAGGGCGTAGGGCCCTCATCCGCAATATGTGGAGAGAACGAATAAGAGGCGCAAAACGAAAAGTTGAGGTGGGACATCTTGACGTTGATTTTAGTAATAGAGTACATTTCGGTGGTAACAATGAATCGATGAGCACTTCTATTGTTTCTTCCAGTTGGGAAAATTATAGACAGTTACATTTTTTTCATGAAATTATTTTTTATTTTATTTTGTGAATGATGTGGCATTTCAAAGGAGGTCCTTGGAGATGACCCAAGTTCCTCTAAGTTGAGCAGGCTGTACATGGTGTTGATTATATAGTAGAATGGCATAGCTGGATTAGGATATTGAAAGATGGAGATATTCAGCTTCATCTTCATGATTTTTCAAGACAAATTTAATCCTTTTATATGGAATTTACCAAAAACTTAGACTTACCTAACCTCCTGCTAGGGGTCAATTAACGGACGCATTATAGATTGTCCTTTTTTCCCCTAGCGTGAGTTTGAGACAAGTGTGATACTAACTTTTTCTACTGAAGAAATATATTATTATAGCAAATAAGTTCAGTTTATAATTCCTCTTGCTTTAAAGTATCCCATACTTGCATTTATTCAAGTACACATGACGGCTTTCTTCTATGAAACTCAATTCCCAATGCACGAAAATCGCATCTTCAAACTCTTTTTTTTTTT